GCAAATGACGTATCATTTGACACTTTATTGTACTAGCGTGCCGCCGCCATATTGTGTCGGATATCCGGCCATAATAAAACAATTTTTAATTGTGTGTTTGCCGAATGAAGCATGCCAGAATTTGTTTCTAATTATTCAAATACAAAAAATTATAGAATAATTGATGGTATATCCATTAGGAGGATATAATGATTTTTGGACCACAAAATGACAAAATAATCGCCAACACTTTTCCAAATGGCGCAAAAGTATGACGTCATATACTGTCCAATGTTTTGGAACGAATCACCAGTATAGCGTCGATTCATGACGTCATTTGCATTGGACAGTACACTGCGTTGTATTTCGGAACATACCCCTGATAAACCACAAATTCTCGCAAAAGAACACTGATTCCTACCAAAGATGATACGAGAGGCTATTGAAATTAAAAAACATCCAAATTTCAATAGAGAAGATGGTTGGGTGCTACCATCTGCTTGGGATCCTATAATTAACAAAATTAAACCCAACCCCAAGCATACCACTGCAAGACTTCATGATACTATAAGCTCGTTTTGCGTAAATCGGACCAAAAATTAATATTAAAAAAAAAACTGAAGGTAGCCGGACTAACTATGACATTGGGACGTCAAACATCTCAGTCTCCCCCGTGACCATGGTGCTGTAAAGCACCCGAAACGTCGGGATAATAATAAAAATAAATTAAAGTAATTAAACGCGATAAAATCCGTAAATAATAGTTTTATTCAATAAACAATAGTTATAAAATTTTGCGACTAATCAATCAGTCGAACCGCTGGCCACTACCTTGTTATTTGTATTTATTAATCGTGCATTTTGATTTGAACCTCAGTCCACAATATTTCAGCGGCACCCACAAAGACGGCAGTGAAAGTACCCACCGGAACCTATAGGTGTAGGACGTGAGCGACTCGCGAAGTATCTTCGACAACATTTACTACGGAGAGTTTCGCCCGTCCGGCACATTCGTTGGTCCTTCAAGCCGGATATATCCGTTTGTATTTCGGAACCGGGTACATAGTCACCACCGTATTAAAACCGCAGAATTTTTCAGATTCAAGATGCCGATCACCCGTTCGCAAGGAAGGGAGCCAAGGCGTGGACCGTCAGTCTGGAAGGAGGTTCGTCGGCCAGTAACGCCGCCGTCCACCACCAGATGCCACCACGCTCACCTTCAACGGTAGAGGGCGCTGAGGCGCCATGCTTCCCCCCGAGGGGAGGATACCCCTGCCCGCGACGACCACTATGGCCCGCACAATGAAGCAGAGGGAACATATAGAAGGCAACGATGACTTTAGCCGTGCATCATCGCCAACAGCCCGGAAAGACACCCACACCGAAGAGCCACCGAGGGGCCACACCGATTGCAGTACGAAGTCAAAGAAGATTGTTCGGCTCAATAGAAGAATTTTGAAGGCTCGTGAAGAATTATTGAAGATCAAACTAGAACTTGCGCAGATCTCCTTACAGATGGCTGAAGAAGAAGACGAATCAGACGACTATGATGAAGATGGTCACTCCAAAAGTGATTACGTTCGATCTTGGCTCGAAAACTCTGTAGCCAAACAAAAGTCAAATCAAGGTGCTACCACCGGAGGGAAGACCCCATTTAATAAAACCGTTACAAAGCCAACCCCGGACGTTGTCGACCTCAGTGAGCCCCAAAAGGAGCTCACGAACCATGATTCCTATCCAGAAGACGTACAAAAGGATCCCATGCTACAGAAGCTCAGACAGGAAACCACCGTTAATGAAGACAGGGGGTTCCTACCGATTGTATCAGAGCTCACGTACCAGGATTCCTATCCAGCAGATGTACCCAAGGATCTCATGCCAAAGAAACCTAGCCAGGAACCCGTCATAAGTGAAGACAGGGGGCTCCGTCCATTTATATCGGAGCTCACATCCGCTATAGCCGCGCTCGCTGACAAATCAAAGTTAGAGAGTGCGCCACTATCGTCGCATACTTTCGCAGCGTCAAAAGCTATAATTGACACTACCAAGCTTTAGCGGAGCACATACCGAGTGGCTTTCATTCCGTGCCATTTACGAAACAACCCGAGGCTACTTCAATGACATTGAAAACACTGCTAGACTAAGACGAAGTCTACAAGGAAGAGCCTTGGAAACAGTCAGTTCAGAACTCATCGGGCATGTTAAGCCAGATGAGATTATGCGAGAACTGGAGCTACAATTTGGGCGTCCAGATTCAATCGCGCAAGCAGAAACCGAGAAGTTACGAGTATTAGCACGCTGTACAGAAGCACCCAGAGACATTTGTACATTCGCGAGCAAAGTGAGGGGAAGCGTCGTCACTCTTCGAGCCCTAAAGCGAGATCATTAACTAGTCAACGCAGAGCCGCTACGACACCTCACCGACAAACTGCCAAACTCTATACGTGCCCAGTGGTATAGAATCTACACAGAAAAATATGACTCTAGACCAGACCTCGGCTGCTTCAGCGAATTTATTACCGAGCAAGCTCGCTTCTGCAGTGCATTTGCGCCTCCAGAAATTATAAACGAAGCACAAAGCAATCGTTCAGTGTACTATGTATAGAGCACGCGGCTACTACTAAGCCGTCTCCGAAATGCAGAGTGTGCGAAAAGGAAGGTCACTACGGATCCGAATGTAAAAAATTTAAGGAAACAGATATCAACAAAAGATGGGAACTCGCAAAGCAAAATAATTTATGTTTCCGCTGTTTACGTTATAGAAATCAGACACACAAATGTAAAAACAATAAGTGTGGAATAGAAGGATACACCGCGACACACAATCGACTTCTCCATAACAATACAAAGGAGAAGACTGAGGTCAAACAAAAAGAACCTCAAGAAACCGTAGCTAACTCATTCGCTGTGTCAAAGCATCAAGCCTATTTAAAAATAATTCCAGTGCGAGTAATTGGACCGGCGGGAGTTGTAAATACACACACAAAACACTGGATGAAGAGATCGCAAAACAAATTGGAGCTACAGGGCGGTTGGACCCGTTTAAGATCACCGCTATCGGGAACACTACCCTCGATTCACCGGAATCCCGAAGAATCAAAGTATCGCTGAAGAGTCTCCAGAGCAAAAGGGTGCCATTCAGAGCACGCACGGTTGCAAGCCTAAACTTGGGGCCACAGACTGTGCGTGCAGTAGACATACCCAAGTGCAACCACTTGAAAGACCTAAAGCAGCAGCTAATATATGACTCCGGCAACCCAAGGATCCTAATAGGACAGGACAATTGGAGACTTCTGATAGCCACTCAAATCCGAAGAGATCCGCCGCACCAGCCAATTGCCTCGCTAACAGAATTAGGATGGGTGCTATACGGGGCACACTCTAAAGCCCCGTATCAGTGCGTCCACGCGGCCAGTGAGCTGCACAAGAGCGAGGGGACTATAGATGAAACTCCGCGAATATTTCGCGCTGGAATCTCTCATCATTAATCCGAGAAGACCAGACTCCGATGCAGAGAAGAAAGCTGAAGATATACTAAATAGCAGCACCCGTCAGTTACAAGACGGGCACATAGAAACAGCGCTTCTCTGGAAGGAAAAGGATATTGAGATGCCTGGTAATTATGAAACAGCAATAAAACGGCTCGTTTCCATTGAAAGAAAATTAGATCGAGACGAAGATCTAAAAAGGAAATATGATGAACAAATGAATTCCCTAGTACAAAAAGGATACGCCGAGATAGCACCGAAAACTAGCACACCGGGAAGAACATGGTACCTGCCCCATTTCGACGTCCATAACCCAATGAAGCCAGAGAAGTTTCGAATAGTACACGATGCCGCAGCCAAAACAAAGGGGGTGTCATTGAACGACTTCCTGCTCACGGGTCCAGACCTACTGCAATCACTACCAGGGGTAGGGTCATGATGCGTTTTCGCTGCCATAATATCGCTGTCTGCGCGGACATAGCCGAAATGTTCATGCAGGTCAAAGTTAGACCCGAAGACAGAGATGCCTTAAGATATCTCTGGAGAGGGGATCGACGTAATGAAGCTCCACAAGAATATAGAATGACGTCGATCATTTTCGGTGCAGCCAGTTCACCCTGCACAGCCATATTCGCAAAGAACTGGAACGCTAAAAAACACATAGACAAGTATCCAGAAGCCGTAGAAGCTATCATTCAAAACCACTATATTGATGATTATCTCGACAGTTTCCAGTCTCTGGAAGAGGCAATGCGAATATCGAAGGAAGTACGCGACATATACAAAAACGCGCACTTCACCTTAAGATATGCTGCATAAAACACCAACCAAAAGGGAAGCACTCAAAATAGTAATGTCGCTGTATGACCCGCTCGGCCTCGCCTCCCCAGTTACAATTCGAGCAAAGCAAATATTGCAGGAAGCATGGAGACGAGGAACAGACTGGGACCAGGAGTTGGACGAAGACCTGACTAAACAATGGTCCACATGGATCCAACACCTGGAACAGCTCAAATCAGTAAGCATCCCAAGTAGCTACTCGGGATTCAGCGACGCACGTTCACTCCAAGTCCACGTGTTCACCGATGCCAGTGAGAGCGCCTACGTAACGGCAGTCTACTGGAGATCAACGACACCCGATGGGACAGTACATGTGAGCCTCATCATGGCTAAGGCGAAGGTAGCTCCGCTGAAAGTAACGTCCATACCTCGCCTCGAGTTACAAGCCGCCGTAATGGGAAGCCGCGTAGCTGCCGCCGTTATCCAGGCACATTGCGTAACGCCCGAAGCCGTGACATATTGGACTGACAGCAAAACTGTCCTCACGTGGATAAAAAAGGGCTCCAGGAGTTACAAACCTTTCGTTGCCCACCGAATAGCAGCAATCGAGGAGCATAGTAAAGTAGAGAATTGGCGCTGGGTACCTACCAAATTGAACATAGCTGACATTGCCACGAGGGACGTACCACCGAACTTCGACTCCAATCACGAGTGGTACAACGGCCCATCATTTCTGTATAAAGAACCGTCAGCATGGCCAACCAAAAGACCCACGTCATCCGAACCTACAGGTGAGGAAAGATCCCTCACTATTAAGGAATCGCATCAAGCTCCGATACTCCGAGAAGCTGTTCCCGATCCAGCAAGGTTTTCGAGATGGGAACGCTTATTGCGAGCTACGGCTAGAGTGCTACAATTTATAACACTCTGCCGCAAAACCACAGACAGGACCTTCTATAAAAGAACCAAAAAGGACAAAGAGGAAGATCCCGACTGGAGGAAATCGAAAAATAATCTGCGACAAATCGCGCAGCCTCCCAGTCAAGTGAAAAATAAAGATGTCCAAAGGCACATCACACTAGAGGCCGAATTCATCACAGAGGCCGAAAAGCTCCTGATACGTGCCATACAAGAGGGCTCCTTCTCACAAGAGATAACCGATCTCCGTAATAATAAAAAGGTCGCTCATGATAGCCGCCTACGACCGCTCCAAATAGAATTGAAAGACGGAATCATCGCGCTACGAAATCGCATAGCCGCCGTGAAGGGAGTCACAGAAGACATGAAGGGGTCGCATCGTAGCCTGCATCATTGCGGAACCGAACCTACCATCAACGAGGTTCGACAGCACTACTGGGTGATACGACTTCGACCCACTACGAAAAAGATAGTGAGCCAATGCATACAGTGTCGCATCAGAAAAGCACAACCATCAGTGCCAGCGACCGGTGACCATCCCAGTACACGTCTCGCTCATCACCAGAGACCGTTCACCTTCACCGGTCTGGACTATTTTGGGCCACTTTCCGTCATGTGGGACATCAACATCAGAGGAGATACGTAGCTCTCTTCACCTGCCTCACATCCACAGCTGTCCACTTAGAAGTTGTCGCAAACCTCAGCGCTGACTCCGCAATACTGGCATTAAGAAGATTCGCAGCTCGCCGAGGGTGCCCCACCGAGATTTACTCCGACAATGGCATCAACATGCACGGCGCAGACAAGGAACTTCGGGAGGCTTTTCGAGAAGAAGCCAGTCGACGAGGCATAGTGTGGCGTTTTATAACCCCTCCGCGCCTTTCATGGGAGGAGTGTGGGAACATCTCATACGGTGCGTGAAGACGGCACGATACACCGTCCTTCATGAGAGACATCCGCATGAGGAAGTATTAGCCACGCTGCTCTGCGAGGTGTTATAAAAAATATTGCTTTTTGTATTAATAATGAAATTACTGACAAAACGGTGAAAACATGTATTAATATAGTTGTTTAGCATGTGTATAACTCTTAGTATATTTGTATAGAATGTCGTTTTGATAACAAGTAATGTAAACAACTTTTATTATATTAAGAAAAATCGACCAATCACAGCGTGTCTTATCGTAGAACTCTCTAGAAGTTTTTTAATTAACTGCGTAATAGTTCATACTAAAAATAATGAAAATAATTTTATGTTCTAAAAGAGTTATAAATATGACATTGAATTAGCATATGGCTTATAGATTAAAGAAGTGTAGCAATATTTTCTATAATTAAACGCATTTGATAGTTATATAAAAATTAAAGAATTAATGTACCCAAATATTATGAAAATTTGGGACATTTCGTTTAATAACTTTTTACAATGTTAATGTTTTGAGAAACCTTTATGATATACTAATAAAGTACCAGACTACCGATTTAATGATATATAGCATGTTAGTGTAGCAATTAGTTTTGTATAGAAAATATTGCAATTTATGCCATTTGTATAGTGAAAAGTTTATGCAATAAAGAGGCAAAACGGAAAATGGCAAGCGGCTCACTGTAAAGTATTGCTAAAGTCTACCTTAGGGGCTTGTGACCCAGTAGTAGTAGTAGAGTAGTAGTGTGAAGAACTACCAGTGACAAGTGAAGTGAAGTGAGTGGTGTCCGGTGGTAGCTGAAGTGACTAGTAGCAGTATGTAGTGAATAGACAAAGTGTTAGCTAGCCTAAAAAGGTCGTAACTGACATTCGCAGTTACATATAGTGAAAGTGTTAGCTAGCCTAAAAAGGTCGTAACTGACATTCGCAGTTACATATAGTGAAAGTGTTAGCTAGCCAAAAAAGGTCGTAACTGATATTCGCAGTTACATATAGTGATAGTGTTAGCTAGCCGAAAAAGATCGTAACTGATATTCGCAGTTACATATAGTGAAAGTGGTAACCGATATCCGCAGTTACACAAGTGATAAAATCAGCTAGTTTAGTTGATAATAGCTGCTAGTCAGTAGTGTTAGAAAACCAGCTACTACCAATAGATATTTGATACTACCGTACAATTTAAAGAAATCTTTTGAAATATACAGTGATCAACCAATAGTCAACAACCGTGCTCAATAAACAATAGTTATAAAATTTCGCGACTAATCAATCGGTCGAACCGCTGGCCACTCACTACCTTGCTATTTGTATTTATTAATCGTGCATTTTCATTTGAACCTGAGTCCACAATATTTCAGCGGCACCCACAAAGACGGCAGTGAAAGTACCCACCGGAACCTATAGGTGTAGGACGTGAGCGACTCGCGAAGTATCTTCGACAACATTTACTCCGGAGAGTTTCGCCCGTCCGGCACAACAACGTAAGAAAGTATATAAAAAACAATTGTATTAGTTGTATATATTATAAAAACAAAGGTAGTCCCAAGGAATGGGAGCTATGCCCGTTGCCGAAGTATGCATCACAGTTTCATAAACTGTACTTAGACCATTTAGGTCCATTTGTAAAAACTTGTAATAAAAATAAATATTTATTAACTATCGCAGATGATTTCACAAAATTCTTTTTTATATCTGTAGTACGAAGAACCAAATCTTCGGCCGTAATAAAAGAACTAGAGATAATTTCTAAAATGTTCGGGAACCCTAAAACAATTATATCAGATGCAGGAACATGCTTTACGTCGTATGGCTTCAAACAATACTGTTCCAATAAAAATATACGTTTACGCACTGTGGCGACAGTATATTTGACAGAATATTTGAAAACTATGGGAACTCAATTAAATGAGGATAGATGGGATCAACACATTAAGAAATTACAGCAAGGCTTAAATTGTACCATGCATATAACCGTTAGGGCAGTTCCTAGCGAAGTTTTCCTCGGGTATAGGCTGCGTACGGATAGTGATATGTTAGCTGCGGAACCTGATTCTCAAAAGGAGAAGTTCGATAAGTCTAGGAAAACGGCTAAAAGCTATAATGAAGGAGATTTAGTTTTAGTGAAGATACAAAGTCAGAGTGACCAAGGGCAAAGTAGAAAACTTTTATTAATATTTAAGGGTCCATTTAAAGTGAAAAAGTTCTGAGTCATGATAGATATGAGGTGACGAAGGTAAAAGGAAGTGAAAGGTCTTCTAAATCCCATACTGGCGTCGCAGCCGCCGAAAATATAAAGCCTTGGATAAACATTGCAGAACTGAACTGTGATTGACCTTATAACGAATATATACCATATAGATATCGTGTTGGCAAGATATTTAGGCAGTTTAGTACGTTTAAGCAAGATGAAATTCCTTATTAAACGCTAGTGGAATGAACTTGGTACGTTTAAGTGAGACTAAAAGTCCTTTAAATGCAAGTGGTTCCAGCAAACGCAACTGGAATGAACTTGGTACATTTAAGTGAGACTAAATGTGCTTTAAATGCAAGTGATTCCGACAGACAACTGGAATGAACTTGGTACATTTAAGTGAGACTAAATGTCCTTTAAATGCAAGTGAGCAATGCAGCCGACGAACCTGGTCTCTTAAGTGTTACAAGGTCCTTTAAGTGCAGGTTGTCTTAAAATTGTTCTCGAGTTTATGTAAAAAAAATGTAAATTGATTGTAAACTTTGACTATTAACATACGTCGTGATTATTTTATGACAAAAAAGGGCCATTGATATCGGTGCATATCAATGGCCTTTATAATATTTATTTATCAGAAACAGTTTAATCAATTTGTGTCATTTCAGTATTTTAAATAGATTCGTGAGGTTCCTGGGACAGGAACCATGCAGGATGGCAGTGTTGGCAATTTTATTACTGTCAACACCGGTCCGCCCCTCTTCGAACGCAACCTGAGAGAAGTGGGAAGGGAAATGTTATAAAATAGGGTGCATCGCGATTATAAGAGGTTCTGTAACACGCGTCGAGTTAATCTCAGTGTAATTAAGTGTCGTGAATACAAAAAACTGTAATATGAAGTGATCTGTACAAATATTAATTGAATAAATAGATTGTGTCGTCAGTACATATCATTTACGTTTAAATTCTTTCTTTGTTTTAACACGTATACTAATTTTAAATACAATTATTTGCTAAAAATATTATGAAAGATAGAACGAACGTCTGTCGATTAAATATCTGCCTTGCGGTGCCACGAGGTGGTTCACGAGGCATCGAATTTCATTTTATATGAATATTCATACGTTCATATTTACTATCAAAATGTATATAATATTATATATCATAATCATCATCATAAATGTATATAATATAATAATATAAAATCTATGTTTGAGACAGAACGGGAGTCTATACATTACATATCTGCCTTCTGGTGCCACGAGGGGTACATGAGGCATTGGATTCTGTTTCACACGAATATTCATATGTTCTTTTTACTACAAAAATGTATGCAAGGGTTATTATATTCGTGGTACCACGAGGCGATTTTACAACTAATATTTATTACTTTCGGAACAAAAGAGGAGACAAATTATTTAAAATTACTACAAGAACATCTATTATTTCTTAATTATTTTTTAAAGTTTACATTCTTTTCCACACGTGACACGTAAAAATTAACAATTATCAAAAAACACATCTGCTAAACATCAACTAAATATAATACTATATACTAAATATAATTGGTAGGTAACCAACCTGCCTATTTACTTAAAGTGAAGTGCCTCATTTCTCATGTAAGATAAGAAACCTTCCCGGACGTTAAAAATTTTGTTTGGTATATATTAGAATTATCGAATATATTATTATCTATTTAATAAAAATGACACCATTCATTTATAACGCCCTATATTATATATATATATATATATATATATATATATATATATATATATATATATATATATATATATATATATATATATATAGCGCAGAGTGGTGAGGCAGAGGCGGAACGAATGCTCAAGCACAGTATAAATAAAAGACTTAAGGTCGATCGCTACTAGTCTTACTTCTTTTTTCGTTATTATACCTTCATTTAGTTTTGTTAACTAGTACTAAGTGCAGTTAAAATATTTATTGTGCGCATGTTTAATTTTATTCAATTTTGAGGCAATTAGGATTACAGTAAGTAAATTTTTAATACTAATGGGAAATAAATATTCTTTAATTATTTATAATCGCTCGCATGGGCTTTAATTTAGAAACAACAATAATACTATTTCGTACGTTTCGTAAAAGTAGCAAAACTAGATCGCTTGTAGAGGCACTTAGGTATGTCTTATTGCACGTAGGAAATGATTGAAATTTGACAATATAATACGCTATAGAAACACGTAAGTTAGTTTATTAGAGTTACATTAATATCATACGTCTTTATGTAGGGAAATTGCCCTGGAATCAGAAATGCGTTATTTCATCATCATCATCATCATCATCAGCCTGTGGCAGTCCACTGTTGGACATAGGCCTCTCCCAAGGCGCGCCACTTAGCCCGATCTTCGGCTTCACGCATCCAGTTGCTGCCAGCCGCCTTGTCAGATCATCGTTCCATCTAGCCAGGCGTTGTTTATTCATACGTAATTAAATTGATATAGTTTTGACAAAATAACATTGAATTTCATGATATTTATTAATATTGGCCCCATTGAATATTTGGCACCATAAAATACACACCTATATTTTTTTACGTTCGCATAGAAATTATTTTAAGATTTAACTAACAATAATATCTGTTATTATAACTCGCGAATCATTGTAGTGCAGGTGAAGATGAATAGACAATGAAAAACTCACACCGGCTTTGCTTTTTAATGCTGTACTTATGCGGTCGTACGTATTTTGCTGACGGTTCATATAATATTTAGAAATACCTTAATAATACTTTGATTATAAATGCCAGAATAGTTTATGGTGCACGCTGTCAAAGATTATTTATTTGAAGTTTATTAAATCTTTTACGTTTACGTTAGAGTTCTCTAAGCATCTGGATCATATTATCCAGATGCTTAGAGAGCTCCAAATATTTGTTAAATTTTAATGTCAATGAAAAAAATGTTAATGTATATTCATATTGGTTTTCAAATGGACTAAGATATTAGTATATTTATCCATATTATAATGTATTTGTCGTCTCGATGACCACGTAAGTACACCAGATGTCAATGTTGTTTTTATTTTCTGTAAACTGTTTTGAGAATTTCTTTAAAAAGTTCAATAAACTATTACAGGTCTATTCATAACATTCTCGTTAAAGATCCAATTTTTTAAATATCTTTTATTTTGCTTTCAATTCAAATCGATTAGAAAAGTGAGGTTTTTATGGAGGATCGTTAACACTTATTTAAACGGTACTTCAGTTCGGTGAGTTTCATGGTTATATGTATCTATTATTTTAACTCGTTATTTTTTTAGTCTTCGTGTAATATTTGCCTATTACAATAAATATCTGTATGGGCAATAAAAACAATATCCTTTAAACGATCTGAATTATCAAAATCATACACACTTCAAAGTCAATGAATTGAATATTAGTACAGATTGCATTAAATTTAACATAAGAATTAGATAGAAATAGCATTTACATAATATCTCTTATATTCTTACTGCTATACAAAATTGTAACGTGAACGGCCCACTTCTTAGAGTTTTGAATTACCTAAGTAAAATGTTGCGGCCACAGAACACATTCAATTCTCGAAAAGTTGCCAGCCGACAAATGGCGGATAACCATCTACGCATCGTTCAGATCGAAAATACGTAGAGCATAAACGAAGAGCACAGCTTTACGGTTTGATAATTGTGTTATTCTACGATGTTTTCTATAAATATGATATAAATAATTTTGCTTACTTGCAAACAAGTTCCTATTATTATCAAAGAACCAACTATTTTAAAATATGTACAAATTGTAATTTAATTTTAAAATTGATTTATTTTATCTGTCGGAAATCTAATTTGCGTATAATTATACTCATAAAAGCTTATATAACGTTAGGTACATTTTTTACTTAAAAATCAGTGAGCTCAAGTGCGTCCTCTACATAAAATAATTATATTCTAACGACTTCCTCTTTGATCTAGTGGTTGTTAGCTAGTGCTAATTTATTATTTACAATTTTGAGATGCTGAGTCTGATTCCAGTCCACTGGAAGACATAGGTCTAGACTATATGGGTCTTATTTGAAAAGTTAGTAAGATGACATCTTAGATCCTTGAACTAAGACAACAAATAATCGATAAAATTAGCTTGTTTAAACATTTAAGTGAAAACTCGAGTATCAGCGCCGTAAGCATTTGATATTCTGACTCAAAACCCTAAGTAAACAATTAATCACTTATCATTACATATAGGCTGTGATGTTTTCTCAGCGTCAGTCTTTTCATTTAGGTAACTGGAATACAAAGACACATTAGTGTGACAGCTGGCATGTATTTCTTGAAATAATTGCTGTCTCTTACCACATTGATGCAAATTGATGGGCCCAATGTTACAAGCTACTCACATACAGATAGTACTGTTCCCACGTCCATCAGTCTGTACTATGACAGCGTAGCAATCGCAAAGTTGTTCTTGACCTTTGGAACAACAGATGCAACTTTTCTCTGCACTGTACGGTCTATAACCCGTTGTCGCTAGCTTGAAGGACGTACAAGTTACGTCCACTCGGTCTTATCCGAAAATCGGATTTTAATTGTTTAATAAACATTAATTTTACAAACGTTACGTCAAACACAAAAATTTTCCTCGGCATCGTGGAGGCGTTTTACAATGATTTTACGTACATAAATTACATAGGGACACACATCCAGACCCGGAAGAATTATTTGTAGGATATTAATGCCACAGTACTGTGGGGGATTTTTCCTTTATATGTATAATAATAATAATAATAAAGGCGAGGCTGAAACATACCGATACCTGGGTATGTCACAGAACATCGGTATCGATGAGGCAGGTATGAAACTCTATCAATATAAAGAAGAGAAAAATAGAACCACGACCCCACAACTTACCAGAACGAGGCAATATTTCGTCCATGGAGTGAGATGAGGTGTATAAGTATTTAAGATATCAGCAATCTTAGCTAGCTTAAAAAACGCATTAACAGAACAGAATACAAAAATATAGTAAGCCGAATGTGTAAAACCCAACTAACATCAAAAAACCTTAATAAAACTATTAAAACTTACTCGATTCCTATATTAACATATTGATTTGGTGTGATAAAATGGACAAAAATAGACATAGTTAACCTCGAAATAAAAACACGTACCATACTAACGAAATTTAGTCATTTACATCCCAAGTCTGCAGTAGAAATCATTTTAATAGGCAGAGGAGGACTTGTATACATCCTAGCTCTCTGGACTAAGCAGCTCTTAACCCTTAGACCTTTCTTTCATAAAAAATGACTACCAGTAATTTACACAATGCTATTGTTAGTATAGACGTGAACCTCTCACCACTAAACCTTGTAGAAAAGAATCATATAACAGAAATAAATCACCAGCATACAGAAAAAGATGACTTGAAATTAGTACAATGGAAAAAGAAAGTTTTGCGTGGAAGACATCCTTATGGCTTGTATGTGGTCATTAATTCACTGAAATCGAAGGCTTCGTGATAGCAATACAGGATCAAGTCATTAATACGATTTTTTTCGAAAATATGTAATTAAAGATCCTACAATAGCAGATGATAAATGTCGAAAATGTCACAAATAGCCCGAGACCATTCAGCACATTACAGGTGCTTGTCCAACACTCACACAGACAGACTAGAACACACAGACTAGAGAAAACCAGATAGTAAATATAATACACAAAAATTACAGACAACACACGTCTGGGATGAGTTTGTATTTGATAGCTAATACTATAATAATAACACGCCATATTACAAATACACATCAACGGCCATTCTTGAAAATACAAATTATAAAATGTACTACGATCGTGCTATCCTGACAGACAAAACCATCCCACCATAATATTATATATTTTGTACAATAGTTATTTGTATATATTAAAGTGCAGTTGAAAGTGAAATACAGCTTGCTTAATACACAAACCTTAAAAATTAGTGGATTACGGTCCACTAGATGACCACTAAATTACTAATCTTTATTTTTTACAATGCTACCTTTCTTTCAGAGAATGGCACAAATGGAAACAGACGATCTGCGCAGGCGCAAGAAAGAGATTATTCTACAAAATGGATTTACTAAGCAAGACGACGAGAAAAAACCAAAACCAGAATTTATGCTTCGCGAATCGCCTTTAACGACAATTATTGAAGAATCTCTTCACATGAGAGCTATTCACCACATATTTGTAGTTATACTACTGATAATATTTTGTGACACGGTGATATATGACTTCGTAGAACATGGAAAGTAAGTAAAACTTGACTAATAAAATATCACATAGATTAAAATATTATCATAGTTTTATCTTAATATATATCAATTACGTGTCACGTAGTTTGTCCGCGTTGGACTCCTAAACTACTTAACCGCTTTTTATCAAATTTGCACACCGTGTGCAGTTTGGTCCAACTTGAGAGAAAGGATAGTTTTTTGCCCACAAGTAATACACAATTTTTTTGCGAATTTAAGAATTTCTAATAGGACATGAAAAATAGTCATTGAAAAGGGCAGAACAACGTCTGCCTGGCAAGCTAGTTTATAGATATAAATTAACCACTGCAACACCTTTAGAAAACTGTAAAGCCGGCAATACAAGGCGAGTGCTACAGTCTACATGTTAGCGAAGTTTGAATGAGTTAACATACTGTACTGTCATGGCCAACTGACACGTCGACACGAATTGTGGAGTGCAGGCGATCGCCTTTGATTTGTGCAGAAAAACTGACACTGTTTCGAAGTGAGACGAGTCGTGGCGAGCGATCAGGAGTGGTGGCAAGGCAAACCAAACGAACCGTATACACGTAGGCGCTCGCCTGCGCTCGCCTGCACTCGGCCAGCTAGGCGAGCGACGACGAGCAACGGCGAGGCCAGACAAATGTTCTGTTCATATGTTGGTACTCGCTTTCGCTCGGTCAATATGTATTGTAGGATACTCTGTAATAAACAATTCGCTTCAATAACACGTCTAGTAAGTTTAAAGTTATTTCGAGTGAATGTATCTTTTCGCATATTGTCGTATCTGCGTTGTCTGACACTTCTAAAAAACAGACTCTTGATATTGACTATACAGGGCAGTTATTATCAATTCTATTTAATTTTGTATAAAAGTATTTCCATAAAAAATTCTATCGTTTAAAGAGTGTATTTTGGAAAGGATGTTATAAATTTTACTCGTATATTTTGTTTATTAATAATACGACATATAAAACTTTATCAGTTAAAATTTCCGTTTTCGCTAAATATTTATATGTAATGTGCTTTATTTTATTAATGTGCTGTGGCAGCGTAATAGAAACCCATCATTCCACTTTGTTACATGGATTTTGTGAGAGGTGTCTTTAGAAAACGCCTGAAAGACCTCATGACTTCCTTTGAACATCGATATAACATTCTCGTTTACACCAGACATAATATACCTGCCCACTCCAGGGACGGGGAGCAGCATCAAACATGCTGGAAGTTTTGCTACTGCAACTGAAATTGACTATCCACCGGCCAAACGTGACAAATAAGGCCAATCTTGCCCACAACAGCACACGGCCTTCTCCAATTGTGAGCTTTCACAGACTGACGATAAATAAAATATCACAAAATATATCAGTTTCGAGGGATACCTATTATACTACATTCCCTATTATACCTATATCCCCAATATCCATCAATATTGATAGATATTGGGGGCGACTAAATCTAGTCCAGTTTAACCCCCAGAAGACACAAGTTTGCGCGTTAACCGCTAAAAAGAACCCCTTTGTCGTATCTCCTCAGTTTCAAGGCACTCCCCTTGTTGCCTCAGCCAGTATCGGAATCCTCGGCGTCGACATATCGAGTGACGTGCAGTTTCGTGGTCACTTGGAAGAGAAGGCCAAATTGGCCTCTATAAAGCTTGGCGTGCTCAGCAGAGCGGGACAGTATTTCATGCCGACACACCGCCTGCAACTTTACAAGGCGCAGGTTCGGCCGCACATGGAATACTGTTCCCATCTCTGGGCTGGGGCTCTCCAGTACCAGCTCCTTCCACTAGACCGCATCCAGCGCAGAGCGGCTCGAATCGTCGACGACCGAGTGTTTTCGATCGGCTCGATTCACTGGCACTGCGAAGAGATGTTGCATCTCTTTGCATTTTCTTTCGCATATACCATGGAGAGTGCTCTGAGGAATTGTTCGGATTAATCCCAGCCGCCAAATTTCGTGAACGCACTACGCGGCAAACGTCGCGATACCATCCACATCATCTGGATGCTTGGCGGTCCACCACTGTACGTTTCAAGAGGAGTTTTCTTCCGCGTACAACCTCTCTGTGGAATAGTTTACCACCAGCGATTTTTCCGGACCGATACGACCTGGGGACCTTCAAGAAAAGAGCGTACTCCTTTCTAAAGGGCCGGCAACGCACCTGCAATTCCCCTGGTGTTGCGGTTGATCATGGGCGGCGGTAGTCACTTAACATCAGGTGAGCCGCATGCTCGTTTGCCCCCTCTTCTATAAAAAAAATACCTGTTTTTAGTAATAACTCAAAATAATTATTAAACTACGGTCGGTAACCAGCATGCCAGGCGTGGCAACTGTGACAAAATCCTCTCTATGAGACAATCTATTTGGGAAGCCTATTTTTAGCAGTGAACTATTATAGGATGTATTAAATAGTTGGATGTAATAGAAATCGAAATTATGTCTAGGTTTCTAAATTCCGTATACATCATTGCAATTTCTAAGGTGACCTTAACATTAACAGAGAAATCATTAATCTATATTATCTTTATCTTTGATTCATATTATTGTATTTTAAAATATTCATAATATTTCTTCAGGATTAACATTGGATTAAGGACTATAGTCCATGGATTCGGTGATATACGACGTTGCGCGAAATTATGGTTGTTTGAGCTTGCAGTCGCGCTTTCCTTCTATCCGCTATTAAGAATATACGCTGCTACCCAAAAGCTTTTTAAAAACTTTCCAGGTAATAATTAATGTATACTTTTTATAGGAAAAGCCTTGGTAGCTGTGGCGCCAAGGAATCGATGTTTGCTTTAAATTTCATAGTTTAAACTTCTATTCCACTTAGGTCGAGGGTAGACACACACACACACGTATGCACGGGCGCACACAAACACTCTGAACACTAATAACTAAAACACACGTATACACGAGTACATAAGCTTTAAAAATCTGACCTATTGTCACATTACTTAGGTGTGTGCACTCTGATCTTTGATTTATGGGATAGCTAACTGCAAACTGCTTTTAGTCTGAGACTACCTCCAAGACTAAATTTATCAATTCCCACTCATTAATAAGTGTCTTGAATTTCTCTCGTTCTAGGCTGAGACTGAGTTAATTTTTTAGCATATTTTAAGGTTTTACTTCACGTATAAAAGACGTATGCAACGATATTTAAGATTTATACCTTTACCTGGCCAACACATCTTTTCATATGACTATTTCTGTTCAGTTAATTATTTTATTTTCAGGGTGCCAATCCTAAATTTCAATCTATAGTTTTATAAAACGTGTTATTAATTGCTTGTTATAAGGGTATGATACATTTATCCCAATTAACTTTAAAGCATTTCAAAATTTTCTTATAAAATCTTTCGACTTGCCTATTATACCCATAACTAGAGTGTGCAACCTAATATTTTTCTTAAAACAACAATTTCCAAATTATTTTGAGGTTAATACTGTACTAGGCATCCTCAATTTTCGCGGATTATCAAATATTTTCAATACGTTTACGAAGTCTTAAATCGTATTACTACTGTCTGTGATAGACACCGCTAATATAAACTTAATGAATTTAGTGAATGCCTCTAATGTGTCAAATAAATACCCATTATTGTTCCAAATTTTCACAAAAGGTTTTGGGTAACCTAAATGTAACGTCTGGAATGGCGGTTCATATTTTCGTAATGGATTTTGTTCTCCTTTTTTTGTCCACCTTTATATTTGTAATCGAGACACCTTAAGTAATTTTATATTTTTTATTATGTGTCTCATCCGTGAGAACCAGTATCGACGAAAAATTCTCTCGACTGTTTTATTCACAGAAAAATTACAGAGGTAATTGCGATTGTATTTTACGTAATACCTGCAATATGCACGCCCAACGTCACCCCCACACCACCTTGACTTCTACGTCGTTATACTATGTTGCACAATAATTCATATTTTTATTAAATACATTTCTCAATTTATGCGCTTTACATGATTCCAAGGACATTCTGATAAATATTCGAGAAACCTAAAATTGAACAGAAAGTAGCTAATCCCAGATTTTAAACATACTATACCTCTATATGTTAAAATCAATAGCTATTTGTTATTCTCGCTAAAACTCGAAAACGGCTCGAACGATTTTGATAATTTTTTGTGTGCATTTGAATGGGTCCCTGGATGGTTTAAATTCACAATTGAACCCGGTAGGTGCGAAGACTGGGCGTATCGCTAGTACTTCCAATCCACACCATCCACAATCCACGTGTTGCATGCGCGCTCACTCCTTTTGAGTAATATCATGAAAAGATTCTTGAGTCTACGATTTCTCTAACAATTTATTTTATTATTATTTCTATTTAAACTCTTTTTTAAGCTCAACTAATCTGCATTCCGTTAATAAACAAAAATGACAGGGAGTCATGATTAAAATTATTTTTTATTGAACAATCAATAATTACAGTTCGAGGGAACGATTTTTATTTATCTGGTTTGTCTATCGCGTCTAAAACCTACATTTTCCGAACATAGGGAGCATCGTTTTTAACAGTTGGGTAAAAGGACTAGACAAGATAATACAGTTTTTATGAATTTCAGATGCTAACTAATGAGACCTAAACATTATTGCATTTGGTGAACCGATTTTGGAGTGGTCTTTCACTTCATTAACCTTACCTTCAGAGGGTTTTACACCCTCCGAATTTATTCTATAATCTAAAAACTCTGTATCAGACTTTAAAACGTTTTTTGAAATTAAAGGATAACGTTAACTTTGTAATGTGTAACACCTTTTAAAGGGTTCTTAATTCTCTTTTTCTTTTTTACTTATGATTAAAATATCTACATTGATGATAACATGATGGAGCACAAGCTAACCAAGAGGGGAATCTCAAAAATTTATAATACTTAACAGCTAAAAATAGCTTAAATAAATGTCATATCAGAAACGCATTAATTGATTAGCTAACATAGTATCTCTCATTATCATTTATCATCAACGTAAGCTTCTCCAATAAGTTGCTACAGGTAAACAGACCCGCGTCACCAATATCCATCGATTCTCCGCATGTTTTATTAGATCGTTGCTCTATCTAACTGGTGTTCACCATGCTCTGGGCTTGTCACTAGGAATCTGTCACTCTAGAGCTTTTCTTCCTCGTCGATTGTCGGACCATCGAACTGCAAAATAGCTTAAGTGGCCATTTAAGTATTAGGTAGTATATGTGTGTAGTGGGCAAATAATCACAATAACATACCCAACGTTTTAGAAACATTGAATTTATTGTTCATCATCGTTCATTCATTAACTACAACCTTAGCCTTCCCATAAATTGCCTTAAAAGGGGGATATTTGCCATAGTTGTCACGCTTTGCACACACTCTTTTACAGTGGCGAAGCTAGAGCTCCAAGCTAGGCTTGCCCAAGATATAAATTGATAAAAATATAGATTGTTGTTTTTAGCAGTTTTATAAAAATACACCAATCTTGATCTGTCTCCACGCTTCAGTTTCACATGCAGTGCTGCCAAGGACGTGTTTAACAAAGCACACAAAAGGCATACCACTGCTAGATAGATTGTATTACATATCAGCAATTGCATAGCTTCGGTGGCTTTGAAGAAAGCCGTTTGGGTAAAAGTAAAACACGAACAAAGTACAAACAAACTATGTACAAAATTAAAAAAAAAATATTTACATTCTAATGGATAAGAGATAAGATAAGATAGGTAAGTGGAATCGTCTCGCTTTCTTATGGAAAGATTTAATTACGTCCACGTAAAATGTTAGTGAACGTTTTAATTGTACCAATAACTGTTTTTAATTGCGATATTTGATGAAGTCTGAAATACGAGTACACTCTTAACCTTGTGTATTATCTCAACAATGTTTAAAGAATTCCTCTCCGATTATCACTTTAACACACTTCAATTCATCACAAGGAACACTATTATCCTCCATTTTCATTAAAAATCTTTAAAAAAGCATAAATTTTGAACTCGTAATATTAAATCGCTTAAGATAAGCACACAGAGTAAATAAACATTGAAACGTGAAATGAACTTGCAAACGTATTGCCCGCGCGCCTCCTCTTTTAACAAATTTATTCCCAAAAGCCTTGCTTTAAATTTCTATACTAATTGCTATATATACAATCGTAGTTATATTTCATTATAGAATATTTTGTTTCATTATAGAAAGATATTATAGATATTATAATATCTTTCTATAATGAAATAGATATTATATTTCATTATAGAAAGAGAGCGATCATCTTTTCGAAAGCCCCGTAAAAAGCCCACGCCAGCGAGGGAGACAACTATTAGCTCTATTAAAACCCATGTTTTATGACACCAGCAGTATCGCTAAGGCAATACGAGGTCATCGGTTGACATGTGTCGAACAGTGGAGTGCGCGGGAAATTTGAAATAGCTTGAAACATTTTACGAGTTATTTTATTAGTTAATACTACGAGTATTGATTGATTCAGGTTTAATAAGGCAAGCCCGGCTTTTCGGCTTTAATGGAAACTTCGCCACTGCTCTTTTATTTTTAGTTGTTATTATGAAAACGCTGCTGCCATGTCCTGGTGTGTATATATATATCCCGTAGTCGCCTTCTCCAACACTTAAGATACGGTATGGGGTAATATTCTTACACCGCCGCAGTAATATAACATAATATATATATATATATATTATATATATATATATATATAAAAAAAATATATAGTTCTGTTCGCTGCTTCGGCCTTTAGCCAGTAGTGGGCTGTATATAGGCTGCTACCTATTTATTTCTAATATACGGTTAAGAAATAAAAAAGTAGGCCTATAATGCAGTTTTTATATCATTCATATTTTCAAAAAATTTTATTTTTAATCTACCGTAAATATTAAGAGTAGCGATGATAAGTAGAACTCATCATTGTCATCATTACATGCTATCAAATACAACTGCTGAACATACATCGCTTCCCCCCCCCATAGATTGCCAAATATACTGGATATTTGGCGTAGTTGCCACGCTTGACAGGTAGGTTCATGCCTCTCTGTTATCAAGAAGATGCTGTTGCCCATCACCTGATTCAGTTTCCTCTGTCGCCTCTTACAATATCCACTGAACGATATGGGTTAGTGGATTCTCTTAAGCCGCCGCTACAAGGCGCTTGTATTTCTACTCATGAATGTATTCTTCTCATGTTCACCGTGAATAGAACTACATTTATGAAAATTTGAAGTCTAAAACGTTAAAAAAAAATAGCATCTCTTTTATGGTGCCAATCAATATTCAATGGTGCATTATTATTGTAATTTAAGAATTTATAAATTACAACAATTATTTTGTCAAAACTATATGAACTTTAAATATGAATAAATGTAAAGAGTAAAAATGTAAATAACATAATTCTGATTCCACGACAATTTAATTCTCATATGCGCTTACTGGTATATTATCATTTAAAGACATGCCCGCAAAAAAGTGGTAGATGTTGATAGACGTATAATATTAACCATATTTTTACCCGCGGCTTCGCTCGCGTGGCCTTCGATTTAGAAACATCACCAAAATGAGCAAAATTGGATCTCTTTTAGAGTCACTTCGTTATAGGTGTCTATATTGGACACAAATTATTGAAATTTGGCTATATGATATGCTACAGAAATACATAAGTGAGTTTATCATAATTGCATTAATATCACACGTCTTCCGATGTGTATTTATGAAGGGTAAATTGTTCTGATGCATTATTTACATTTATTGAAAATTAAAGTTCATATAGTTTTGACAAAATAATTTTTAATTTAATATAGTCTTTTATTAATACACGGTATAGTGCTTATTTGCGATATTCGATTCAATTTATTGACCCCTTTGAATATTGATTGGCACCATAAAGTAGATGCCGGTATTTTTTTATATTCGAATAGACTGGAATTTCATATCTTTTTATTATTCGTTATATCAAAAATCAACTGATACACAAAGTAGATTTTTTAGCTCTACAGCAGAAATCACACACAGTTTAATTGCTGTGGTCTATTAACTATAAGCTAATATTAAAATTATGAACTATATTATAATAAACAAAATTACATATAAAACATTATTATAAAAGTATGAACTATTAAATATTTTTAATTGTTGTGGTCTATTAACTATAAACTATTACCTTATATAAACTATTATTGATATTATGGCCATTCAACTTATTTGGCAATCTATGGGGGAAATCGAGTCGCTGAACGGGAGTAGAAATATATTAGCCGTGCAGAAGCGGCGAAAAATAAATCATTACCCCATTTCATCTCGTGGATGTCGTAAAAGATGACAGAGGGAAACTGAAACAGGAGATGGGGCAGCATCTTCCTGATAACAGCGCAAAGTAGTAAAAACTGCAGTCGTCAACTCGCTTGCCAACGACTTCACATATACCAAAAAATAAGTTCCGCAATAAAACCCTAACCCTTTTTACTGGAAACGAGACATTCCATCTCAGTCCTCACGGGTGACAACGCATCTTCATTTTGTATTTTAATGGAGGATAGATGTAGATGTCTATGGGCCGCAGCAACCACTTACCATCAGGTGGACTGTGTGCTCGTTTGTCACCCTATTCTATAAAAAAAACTTGTGTTTAAAATTTGTTGCCTTTGATATTTATGGTACTTATTCGCAAGAGCCGGTTAATTTTCTCAGGTTATGAAACCGGGACTGTCACAAGAATTTAAAAAAACTGTTTAAACTGTTTTACAAGTCACAAGTGCACAAGGTTTACCTATAGTGCGAAATAGCGGTTTTCACATAAACACGATTTTTTTTAAAATCTTCTCATCTGATACAAATTTTAAACTATCACAGAAATATGTTTAGTAGTTTTTGGGTGAATTGAGAATACACAGACAGACAGACAATATAGTTATGTTTAAACTTAGGCCTTTTCCACTATATGAAAGTTCCGTAATCGGATAAAAAGTAGCCTATAAGTTGCTATGGGTCTCAAACTACCTATACACAAACTATCACAGAAATATGTCTAGTAGTTTTTGGGTGAATTGGGAATACACAGACAGACAGACAATATAGTTATGTTTAAACTTAGGCCTTTTCCACTATATGAAAGTTCCGTAATCGGATAAAAAGTAGCCTATAAGTTGCTATGGGTCTCAAACTACCTATACACAAACTATCACAGAAATATGTCTAGTAGTTTTTGGGTGAATTGGGAATACACAGACAGACAGACAATATAGTTATGTTTAAACTTAGGCCTTTTCCACTATATGAATGTTCACCAATGAGACAACTGACAACTTTTTTTGTTGTAGCTGCTTGCAGAATGTGGTCCATCTTCGGTATACTGGGAGTAGTACTTTTAGAAGTATTAGTGATCGCAGTACCTTCTTGGGACCTAAACAAAGAATATCTCGCAATGGGTTCTTCGGTCACCGTGACGATGGAAATGGTACGAATTCTTTAACCTCTCAATATGCACGCGATCCACGGTGATATTCCGTCAAATTCCAAGCGGTCGGATCCGACCACACCCACCCACAGCATTTTAAACCATAAAAACTTATATTTAGAGACTACTTGTCTATGAAGAAGTTTGGCATTGGAGGATAGGAAATTTCACATTGAGCATAGGCTCAAATTTCCTATCCTCCAATGCAATAAAACGTAGTTAGTCAATGGTTTTTTATTTATAATCTACGTTCATTTCATACGTCTATTTCGTATGGCGTGTTAGTTTTAATAGTGCTTAGTATAGTGTTTTACTATAAAATTGTGATAACAGTTTTTGTGTGAATACAATTTTTCTTTTTACGTAAATAATTTCGAATCATATATAGAAGTAAATGTGAAAATCATGCAGCTGTCCTGCGGTTGGTAAGTAGATTTTTTACTATAAAAATACAATTAAAATATATTTGTAATGAAGTAAACGTACTAAAACTAATAATATAACATAATAAATAAACAGAAACAGGTATTATGCGGCGTAGCCACATAAATATGTCAAAAATTAAAAATATAGTTCTGACTGACAACTGTCATAAGCGCTAATCACTTCGTTTTTTTTTTAATAAAATGTAGTTGCTAAATAAGTATTAAAGCCTTAATTCTTACAAAAATTGTGTTAGCCTTCTGCTTAAAAATTTGTGTGTTGTTATAAACTGTATTGTGATAGTAAATGTACTGTTAGTGTGAACTTTAAAAGCGTTTGTATTCTGTCCGAAATCTGTGTATTCTTTATCTTGTTATTTTAAATTTGTGAACATTTATTATTATAATAAACAAACTCTAATTTGTGTATATTGTGAGTTGTTGAGCGGCATTCAATTGAAATAAGCAATGTAACAGTGAACAGTGAGAATATTTTATCACCAATTTCACTACGCTGGTGACCTCAAAATAATTCCTCAAAAGCTCAATAATAACAATGGCAAAAACCAACGACACTAATAAAGCAGGAGGAAGTAGCTCAATCGGAGTGGGGTCATTTACACCTTCCGACATTTTCCGCGTCGGAGTACGCCTGCCATCATTTGGGCCAGAAGAACCAGGCGTATGGTTCGCCCAAATAGAAGGCAATTTTGCACTCTGGAATAAAGGATGATGGCACCAAATACTTTTATGTCATTTCACAACTGGATCATCGGTATGCAGCTGAAGTGAAGGACATTATCGTCTCACCACCAGAAAGGGACAAGTACGAGAAATTAAAAACCAAGTTGATAAAAGGATTGTCATAAAGAGAAAAGGAAGTAAAGCAACTACTGATGCACGAGGAGCTTGGAGATCGCCACCCCTCACAATTTCTAAGGCATCCGCAACATTTAGCAGGTTTTAATGTTCCTGATGATTTTATTAGAACAATTTGGGCTAGTAGGTTGCCAAATAGCTTACAGACTGTCATAGCGTAGCATCAGCGTTGAGTCTGGTTGTGAAACCAGACTCAACGCCGCCAGCACTTGTAGACTTGGCAGACAAAGTTCACGACCACGTACCTACTGTGCCACAAGTCGCATCAACAAATGCAATATCGGTTGCTGTGCTAGACAAAATGACTCTTCAAATAGCTGAACTCACTCGTCAAGTGCAAGCCCTATCAGTTAGGGACAGAAGGATTAGATCCCGTTCAAGGAACCATTACAGTTACAGCCAACGCAAAAACAGTAGGTCTCGTCGGTCTCAATGCAATTATAAAAAAAATCCCATTTGCTTTTATCACCATAATACGGCGACAAAGCAAAAATATGCCTCAATCCATGCGACTATAAACAGGGAAACTCTCAAGGCGGTCGTTAATGGTGACAGACGATTGCCTTAGCTTATCCGGTTGCCTGTTTGTTTCCGATCTACGATCAAAATTGCAATTCTTAATCGACGCAGGTAGCGATATCTGCATTTTTCCCCGGGTCGCAATAAAGTAGAGACGACCGCAAAAGACGTACGAAATTTTTGCTGCCAATGGAAAGCCGATATCTACGTATGGGTTTGTGCACTTTAATTCAGACTTAGGTCTTCGGCGCGATCTCAGCTAGCGATTTGTAGTCGCTGATATAAATAAGCCCATAATTATTTACGCGAACACTACACATTGAAATAATACTAGTTTTTACAGAATTTATCGCGTATATTTAACTTTTTAAATACCCGACGTTTCGAACGCTTTACAGCACTCATGGTCACGGGCGGGACTGAGATGTTCAACGTCCAGACGTCATAGTTAACCGCGGTTACCATAGATTAAAATTTAACTTTTGTTCCGATCTACACAGTATGAACTTATGGTATCTTGAAGTCTTGCAGTTGTATGCTTGAGTTGGGATTTAATTTTATTTATTATAGGATCCTAAGCAGATGGTAGCAGCCAGCCATCTTCTCTATTGAAATTAGGATGTTTTTTGATTTCAATAGCCTCGCGAATCATCCTTGGAAGAAATCGGTGTTCTTTAGCAAGGATTTGTGGTCTATCAAATCTGATGTAGTGACGGGGGCGATCCTGTCTGTTCACAGACTGCAGACTTCCCGGAGCGTCGATTCTTCACATCAGTTATATGTTCCTTAACGCGGGTTTTAATTGATCTTTTAGTTTGTCCTATGTAGGAGAGACCACATTCACAATCAAGCTTGTACACTCCTGCATCTTGCAGAGGGACATTATACTTGACTGATGTTAAAAACTGACCAATCTTCTTCAGCGGCTTGAAGTATGTTTTGATGGAAGCATGCTTCAAGATGTAGCCAATCTTGTCAGTGACTCCTCTATCATATGGCAGTACTGCAGATACACGCTCGACTGTGGCCGGCTTCATTCGTTCACTGTGACATAGGCGCGGGACCCGAAGCTTGTCATGCAAAACTTGCTTGACATGGTGGAGCTCGGCAGTCAGGTGTTTACTATCACAGATCCCTCGTGCTCTCTGAAACAAAGATTTACCCACGGTAGCTAACTGTGAAGGATGGTGGTGAGAATCACCATTTAAATATCTATCTGTATGGGTCTTTTTTCAATACACAGTATGGCTCAAGGTGTTATCAGGATTCCGAATTACTAACACATCTAGAAAAGCTAAGGAATTGTTTGCCTCTAACTCCATTGTGAACTGAATTTAAGATGCTCTAAAAATGCAGTTACTTTATCTAAAGGTAGAATTGTGAAAGTGTCGTCTACGTACCGCTTGTAGAATCTTGGATTTATGGGAGAAGTAAGCAGGGCTTTCTCCTCAAAGTCTTCCATGAATATGTCGGTAACAATGGGAGATACAGGTGAGCCCATCGCCACACCATCTACTTGCTTGTAGAACTCCTCCTTCCACAATAGGTAGCCAGATGTAAGGCAGTGTCTGAGTAATACTGCATATTCTACGGGCATGTTGTTTTCTTCCCGGCGAGAACGCAGATCCTACCATCGAGTTAGAGCGAGTGGCGGAGTTCGCCCGAAAACACAACGCCGAACTTGTGGTGGGTTGTGATTCTAATGCTCACCACACAGCCTGGGGAAGCACCAACATCAACGAAAGAGGTGAGTTACTTTATGATTTTCTCATCTTCAACCGCGTGGTAAGCCTAAACTTAGGTTGTACACCAACCTTTGTAACGCGTGCTAGGCAAGAAGTGTTCTAACACTTCTTGCCTAGCACGCGTTATGTATAACCTTTGCTACCAATAACATGTCCAGGCGGATAAATGACTGGCATGTTAGTAGCGAAAACTCGATGTCTGATCACAAGCACATTAAGTTTGTGATTGGAGCATCACCAACCTTTGAAACCGTTACTTTTAGGGATCCGAAAGCGACCTCCTGGGATATCTACAGAGATAGGAGGAATTTGGAAACGTTTCCTAAAAGCATAAAAAAGTGAAGGTCTGGAGTTAGCGACGGAGATAGTAACCGTAGGTATCCGTGAAGCCTTCGAGGACAGTTGTCCCGTCAAAACCAAGACCTCAACACGAATAGTTTCGTGGTGGAATTCTAAGCTGAAAGACCTTAGGGAAAAGACCAGGAAACTATTTAATAGGGCTAAGAAAACCAAAGAGTGGGATATTTATAGTGCAGCCCTAACTAAATATAATAAAGAAATCAGTAAAACCAAGAGAACATCGTGGAGGAAGCTATGCGAGGAAGTTGAGTCTTTGCCTCGCAGTGCAAGACTACACAAGATGCTATCGAAAGCTAAACCTAATCAGATCGTGCTTCTAAAAAGCCGGATGGTAACTTCACTAATAGTGAAACAGAAACATTGGAGCTACTAGCGTCAACCCATTTACCAGGGTCATACAAGACTTCAGCCTTGAACTCTTTCAGAGACCTACGAAGGCCTTGCAATGAGAACTGGCGTAGGGCTGCAAAGTTATTAAGGCCAAACTTGGTGCAGTGGGCTGTTGACTCCTTTGAACCATTTAAATCAAGCGGAGAGGATAGAATAATTCCCATCAAACTACATAGGCGTATCGACATCCTTCTTCCTTATCTGGTAAAAATCTTCAGAGCAAGTTTTGCATGGGATATATTCCAGAACGATTGACAATTGTCAAGGTTTTATTTATACCTAAGGCTGGTAGAAAGGACTACGCTTTACCAAAGTCCTTTAGACCTATAAGCCTATCTTCCTTTCTTCTTAAGACATTGGAGAAGATATATATATATAGATATATAAGGGATGTAGCTCTAGCTACGAGACCCATACATTACAACCAGCATGTTTACCGCAGAGGCAAATCTACGGAAACAGCCCTGATCAGTGTCATTGACAGGGTCGAAAAAGCACTGGAGGATAAAGAAATAGCTTCGTGTGCCTTTCTAGATATTGAGGGCGCCTTCGACAGTAGACCCTGCTGCTTGGGGGCCTAACATCTAAAAATGTTGACCCCATAACCATCATATGGGTGAAGTCGATGCTCTCAAACAGAAATGCAAAAATAGCGCTTTTTCAAACTTCGATTAAGGTTGCAACC